TGATCCTTCATTTCAAGACCGGCCTCCTCAGCACCGAGCGTCTTGAGCCAGCGAGCGGGCTCGCCATTCCCTTCCTGGATGGCGACCCTCGCCTTCATACGACGAGCAGCTTCATCAGTGCCGTCATCCTCACATCACGACCGGCCCCTCGGCCAAGGCGTGATCATCTATCTCAAGACCGGTCTTAGCCATTCCTTCACCGGATGGTGACCGTTGCATGGATTGTAGGACCGGCTCCTCATCGCCGTCGTCTTCACATCACGACCAGCCCCTCGGCTATGGTGTGATGCTCTATCTTAAGACCGGTCTTAGCCATTCCTTTACCGGATTGCGACCGTTGCATGAATTTCGGACCGGCCCCCCAGTGCCGTGGTCCTCATATCTCGAGACCGGCTCCCAACGCCGAGGTACTGTTATAGCGACCGAGCTCGCAATTCCCTTCCTGGACAGCGACCGTCGCCTTCATATGACGCATGGATCATTACCATTGTCGTCCTCACATTCAGACAGGCATCCATCGCCTCGTCCTCATATTCGGACCGGCTCATCAGTGCCGTCGTCCTCACCACCAGGCGGGCGTCCCCTCATCAGACGGACACCGCTTCAGCTCCACACCTAGGCCGAAGGGTTCATCCCTTGGAGTTCATTTTGGGGGATCCGGTGTGCTCTTTTTCCCTCATTAGGATTTTTTCCCACAGGGTTTTTCCTAATGAGATTTTTAACGAGGCATCGCCCCATTGTTGATCAAAAGGTGTCGACCCTCGGCCCCCTATTGAAGACGCGTATTGCTCTACTCCTCTTCACCTCACTACATGAGCCTCGAGGAGTGGGGGACTAGGGGACTACATCGGCCTCCACATACATGAAAACATCCAGAAAACAACAACAAGCAAAGGGTACCTCCGTCGGCCATGTCTCCATCGGCCAGAAGAAGGTCTGGGGGACTACATCGGCCTCCAGCGCAAAGAAAAACAAGTTCAAAATCCAACAAACACAAGCCCATGACAATGGTACCTCAACGTCCAACAACCATGTGTTCACCCTTCGGCCATGCCGAAGGGCAAAGCAAGACGCACATCGTCCTCAATATCAAGGACACACATCGTCCTAAAGATCAAGGGCACGTATCGTCCTCAAAGCCAAGGACACTCCTCGTCCTCAAGGCCAATGGCACACATCGTCTCCGGGACTATGACATTCATCATCCATATCACGAACAAAACGAACATGCCACGAACGTCCGCAAGCGTAAGATATATCAACTAAAGTCAAAAGCACAAGGGTAGGACATTCTTCGTCCACAGAGCCAAGGGCGCACAACGTCCTCTGGTCCAGTACATTCATCGTCCTCAAGATGAAGGACATTCATCGTCCTCAAACAAGAGATAACCACAAATAACCTCCTCGGCCCAAAGTACGAAATTCAAACATCAACGGCCAAGAATAAGGAAGCATTGTCTTCATCGGCCACTCATGACAGAGGACGCTCATCATCTCCACCAAGCAAAGGCACTCCTCGTCCTTCAAACAGAAAACATGCATCATCCACATGACTAGGGCCCCCTTTATCCACATCGAGGAGCACACAACGTCCAAACAAAAAAGGACAGAAATCTACTCTCCTTCACTTCGTCAATGTCTCAGCTTAGAGAGTGTGGGACTCCTGATGGAGTATATCGGTCTAGGCCCCAGGACCCACATACTCAGAAGAACATAAGGTACCACGATCACCTGGGGGGACCCCCGTCGGCTGGATGACCTCGTCGGCCATGCCCTCATCGGCCATGCTCTCATCGGCCATCCCCTCATCGGCCAGAAAAAGGTCTACTCACAATATGATCCAGAAGCCCGGAGAACCAGGTGCCCTCATCGGCCATGCTCTCATCGGCCATGCCCTCATCGGCCAGAAAGAAGGCCACCCAGAATATGATCCAGAAGTCAGGAGAACCGGGTGACCTCGTCGGCCATGCCCTCATCGGCCATGCACTCGTCGACCATAGATAGCCTCTAGAACAGGATTTTATACTTATCATTTCTATACACTTTGTATCTGGCCCATTAGTGGCCCTGTTGTAAATGGGCCTCCCAAGCCTAAGATTTGGGAGCCCAACCCTAATTTTCTCTATAAATACTCCCCTTGGGAGTAGTTGTAAGGGTTCACAAAATTCATTAATACAATTCACTTCTCTCTCTAGCTCTCCCTTCTTTCTAGAATCTAGGAGTTAATACTCCATCAATCATAGAAAGAGAAGAGAGATGAATACTTTTTTTTTGAATCGAGAGAGATAAATACTTTAAAAAGTGCTTTTGTTTTTTCTTCTATCTCTCTTTCTCCTTTCTAAAATTAATTAATGTATGTTTTCACATTTATTGGTGTGCTCTATTGAGCATGTTACATAACACTCACAATGTAAGAACATACTATCCTCCGTATCACATTAGTTGGAACATTAAAATTTACACACTATTCATGTACTCTACTTTGACTACATTTTATTTATTAATGTATGCAAATTGTTATTTTTTGAAAAATATTGTTGAACTCGTCTCATTACAAAGTTTGATAATCTGATTTTTTTATTTTTTACTAATAGAGACCATAAAAAAAATACTAATAGAGAATTAAATATAATGACGGTCAAAGTTGTGTATTTGTAAACGTGAAAAGGGGAATGTTGCAACTAAAAAAGAACGGAAGAGGTACTTTTTTAGGATGTTTACTTTGGATGGTTTTCAGTCCTAGACTAAATCGAATCAGATCAGACCAGACTAGACCAAACGTAAATAGATCAGCCCAGACCATACTTCGATAGTTATAAAATACACAGAGACTAGACATTTACCAGTTCAGACCAGAACAGACTTAAACATATTAGACCAGACCAGACCAACAAATTTCAGTCCAAAAGAAAACATCCTTAGTACACTATTAATTGAAAGTCCATTTTTTGTAAAATGAATTAAGACGGGAAAAATTAAAAGACTAAACTTCATCAAATCATATACTTAAGTTCTTAAAAAGACTCTCTCAAGCCTCTTAATTGGGAACAACTATAGTCCTGTTTTGACATTTTAGTGAGAGAAAAAGATGTATCTTTATTTTACTTACTAATACGGTGGTTAAAATGTCTTGTTTCTTTCCTAACCATCACAATTTCTTAAGATAGTAGGCCAAGAGGAAATGAATTGACCACAGGCATCCTCTACTGATCCTGTTCACTTCTGTAATCTTTCTCACTTTTGAGGAAATCAGAAGGCCGAATTGTTTGGCCTTTCCTTCACCTTCTCCATGTCCGCTTACCTCTCCTGGATTGGCAAGCATCCGGCTGCCAAAGTCGAAATTATAGATAAGCAGGTTATGTAATTTTCAAGTAATTAAGAAGATAAAACTTTAACAAACACTAGCCGCCACTTGAAGCAATAGACAACTCAAAGAAAGAGAAAATTTTCAAAAATACTACTCCAAATTTTCAAATTTTCCTCAAAGGAGGGGAAAGAAAGGTGAAGTCATTATCATCATTATCATCATTATCATCATTATCATTACCTCAGTGCCGCAAAGGCTCCAACCTACGGTGGAGTAGGAGGGTCGGATGTACGCGGTCTTACCTCTGTACTAAAGCTAAAAAGATTGTTTTTGAATGACCCATAATGAAAATCGCGTCAAAAATTGCATAGACTGATTGTTACTTCATAACAAAGAAGCGCATACAGTTTAGTGAACCATTTTGCTTTATTACATCATATTCCCAAATCAAAAAATAGTGAATCTTTGGCTCCATTGAAAATGATGGAAAAAGGAAAGAAAGGTGAAGAAGTGAACAAAATGTTAGAAACAATTCTAATGCGCAGGAAATAAGAAAACCCAGCTGCCTTTGAGGAGTTTACATAAAATGTCCTTAAACATTAGCGAGGAAAAGACTCAGTTCACTTAATAATATATAGATAGATGTAAGATATCCCACCCACTTTAGTTTCTATTTTTTCACGCACAGCACATAATCAATTGAGAAGGTTAAAGCGTTGTACTTGACTGCAACATTTTCAAGGTAAAGAAACAGTGTTTAATTAAAGGCACCCTTACATATGTTTCATATGTTTCACTCTTTGTTCTAAAACTAAAAAGATCCAATATGTTTGAAAATAAAAACTGCATTGTTCCATTAGTATGCTCTAAAATAATAGTCCAATAATAGAGGAAAATACCAAAGAACAAAAGTTGACATATTAATTTTTATCATTCTATTGTTAAAAGCTTTCAACTAAGAAGACTAACTTATTACTCCCTTTGTCCCCCTATAATTGTCCCATTTTTTCATTTTTGGATGTCCCTTTATTATTGTCTCATACCATATTTGGTAACATTTGTGTGGCTCTAATTCATTCTTACTTTATTTCCACTTTATCAACTCATTACCAACCACATAATTCTACTTTTCTTAAAAACAACATCATTCCCTTCCGTACCAATATTAGGGGGACGGACGGAGATGTCATTCTTGATTCATTACCGATTCCATTACCGCGGCCATCTGATTCACCGGTACCTGTTGCCCACCCTTCCTCCCTTGCTTTGAGAAATGGTAGATGGAGAGAAATTAAGAAAGATCCGATACTTTTTAGGCGATGTGGCAGGTAGAAGAAATAAAGAGAGCATGTGAGAAACAGTTCTACGGACCGAGTCTGAAAATTAAAGTGAGTTTATGTTGATCAGGGGCATTTACGGAACTCTACTTACTTTTCTTACTAAAACCGGAAATATTGCAATTAATATGAAATTTCCAAAAATGACAACTTTGACAAGTAATTGAGAAGTACCTTAGCAGTCACATTGAAAGTCATATTTGACTTGTTAATACTTTTAGGCAGCCAAACATGAGGCACATGAGCTTGGACGGACTAGAATTACTCCGTAAATTGATGATGTGGAAAAATAGATCCAGACGATTGATAATTGGACGGACTAGAATCACTCCGTAAATTGAGTACAATTGTAGAAAATAAAGACTGTGAGATGGATTATAAATTCTGTTGTTCTTGGTAACCTTAAGCAATAATAAATATTAGAAAATGGAGGGCAATACTAAGGGACATCACTTTGTTCTAGTTCATGGGATCTGCCACGGAGCTTGGTGCTGGTACAAGGTTATTCCGATACTCAGATTTCACGGCCACCGGGTAACGGCGTTGGATCTGGGCGCTTGCGGTGTCCATCCAAAGCAACTCAAGGAGATTACGACGGCGACAGATTACGTTCAGCCGTTGATTGACTTTTTGGGCCGGGTTCCAGCTGATGAGAAGGTGGTTTTGGTTGGTCATAGTTATGGTGGACTTGCGATTTCTCTTGCCATGCAGAGTTTCCCAAACAAGGTCTTAGCGTCCGTCTTCATAGCTGCTTACATGCCTAATTCCAGCACCCCTCCAGCCACTCTTATTCAAGAGGTGACCCCTTCTTCTTTTATGGATTATTTTGTATGCTCAAAAGAATTGAGGAATATAATTGAGATTTATCTAATTGTTATCGGTGCCTATTTATCTAAATTGCATATGAAATATTCAACCCGGACATTCTTTAAAAATGATCCACCATTTTTCTGGCTCCACCCATGATCACAATTCACAACCTCAATTTGAGACCATGCTACTAATTACTAAGCACGTGTTCGTTGAAACTTGAAAGAATCATGGTGGTTAAGTGGGATTAGCGTACTAGAAAAGTTGTGCAAACTGATGAAAAAGAATACTCCGTGAAATTCAAAAATATGAGTATTACTCTGTATGTTTTATTGCTAAATAAGAGTAGTAACTTCCATGATGAGAAATACAATCAATAATGGTGTAAGTATTATTATATTAATGTCTGATAATATGAAAATATAATAAGGATAATTTATGCTTGTTTCCAGGAAAAACATTGTACTCTTGGTTTTGAATTTTACATTTTTCTATTGAAACTATCCCTAACATATCTCAAATGATGCAAGTGGTGCAAATTTATTGTTTGCGGTGTAAACGACTAACGTATTATGTAGTACTCCGTATGCCCTATTTAAATGTTCTTGTCCACTATTCTCCGGTCAACGTGCATTATTCTTGATCTTTTACTTTATATATCAAAATTTTATGAAATTTAAATTATTTTTTGCAGGTTTTGTAGCGGTTTAATGTACTTTCTGAATTGCAAATTTATTTACCAAAAAATTTATATTAACGACAGGGATCAGTTAACTTTATGGTCAGTCAAACATCGTAAACCGCGTTGGAACCTTATAGTGGGACGGAGAGAGTATTTATTTAGATTATTCTATCAGACAATCAAGAAAATTTCTATTTAGATTAAACCGCATGGGAACTTTATTTATTACTCCGTATTTTTTTTCTATCAGACACTCAAAGGTGTAATCAAATAAAATTCTATAAACAATCTTTGCATGTGTATATGAATCATACTCCGGGCATGGGTCGGTTCGGGGCCAGTCCGGGCCAAACCTGGCTTTTCTATTGTGGGTTAAGGCCCGGAACCGGCCCAGAATTCTACCGGGAACGAGCCGGACCAGGACCTGGTCGGGTAGCGGTTTTTTTTTCTTTTCTAATTAATTCCTACCCTCCTACCTCTCACACCCCCAAACCCCTCCAAAACATCCAACCCAACCTGCCTACCACCCAAACTCTGCAAAAAATGGCCCAGGCCGGTTCCAAAGAAACCTGCAGCCCGAGCCTGTCCCCAAAACACCCCCGGGTCGGGTCCTAGGCCTGGGCCGGGTCGGTCCCGCACAGTGGCGGGCCGATTCGGTTCTCAGGTCAGATATATGGAGTACTAGTAATATTTTAAAAGAAAACAAAAAAATGGAGTGTAGTCCTGGTCTTGGATTCGGTATCCAAAAAAACATACGGGCGTGTGTCGATGTGCTGCTAAATGGCATGGAATGGAATATTTATGGGAAAATGATTTTTTGTCTACACCGAACAATCAGGCAAGTTGTGTTGATGTGCTCGGAGTCTCGGACAAAATAATTGTCGGTGATAATAAACATTGTACTTCCTCCTTACTTTAATAGTTAATACAGAGTACATGTCACACGGTAATTTTTACATTATTCTTACATTACTTTAACCACGATTTTCTATAAATATATATAATCATTTCTATTAATGTGAATTTCCAAAATATTGAACGAAATTAAATATAATTACGATTAAAGTTGTGCGTTTGCAAATTGTTGCAACTATTAAAAAATGAACTATAGTACAAGTTACTGTACATAAAGCAAGCGAATAATTCTTGCGAGAGGAAACTGGTATGATTATATTAATTTATTACCGAGTACTACGTATTAATCAATGAATGTTATCCATATTTTAACGACTCCCAATAATGTCCACCTTTATTAATTTTTATTATACGGAATATTATCCCCTTTTACTTGCTCCAAGCATAACCCAATATGATTCATAAGGTGTGTGACAGGAAAAGAAAACCGTGTCATTGAAATTTTCTTCACAAGGAAAATTCTCTCATATGTTCCATTGATCCAAAGATGTCTACTTTGGAAATAAACACACATTCCAGGCTTCCGGCATACCAATCATGCGGTTACATGAGAGTATTGCTCCGTATTTCTTTATCTGCTATAGAATGAAATAAAATCATGATTGGGATGACCACAATTAACAAAAACTTAGTAACCATTCAGACCAATATAATATGTATTACTCTATCGTAATTTCTCTAATTTCAAGGAGTAAGAAAACCAGAATTTCCTAAATCTTGAATTTTCTTATTCCAAACATAGTCATCTCACTACATTCCCAAGCATGAAGGGATTTTCGAGTAACGGAAATCAATCAAAAAAAGGCTAAAGGTAGTAACTATAATTGTTTCTTTTTCTTCAGTATTTTAGAAGGCTTACACATAAATCTCTAATGGATTGTCAAGTAACATTCGATGGAGGACACGAAAATCCTCCAACTTCAATCACTCTTGGTCCGAATTTCATGGAAGCTGTAGTTTACACACACTGCAAACTGGAGGTAACTTTTCTTTCTTGAAAAGAGAAGACGGTACATTTGTGAACTAGTTTGGATTACATATTGAAAAATATGGAGGTTACAGGTTTGACTGAATGCGCAGGAGGTGGAGCTGGGGAAAATGTTAACAAGGCCAGGTTCCCTTTTCGTGGATGACATGAAAAAAGAAAATTTGGTGACAGAAGATAAATATGGGTCAGTGAAGAGGGTATATGTGATTTGCGAAGATGATCAGCTCATGGACCAAGATTTTCAGAAACATAACATACACAGCAGCCCTCCCCCTTTTGAAGTGAAATCCATACCTGCAGCTGGCCATATGGTCATGCTCACAAAACCACAGGAGCTTTGCTCTTGTTTGCTTGAAATAACTGCTGCTGCCGCGACGGTTATTTGAGATGAAAAACACTCCTCGTACAGTACCCTCATTTTTTTTACTTTCAAGAGGTTGGTGTATCGTGTCAGACTATTACTTTTGGTAGAGCTCCTGAAATCTTGACAATCTGCAATATATATGTAAAATTACATCCATCCTCAAATTGAGACTTTGATGTCAACTTGAAGATAAAAGAAAAGGAACATTACACATTGTGCTAAAAAATGCTCCCTGTCCCTTGAAGAAGTTCCTAATTTAACCTTCATACAGTTTAAGGAAATTAGATTTTTTTTCTTTAGCTTCAGAAAAAACCTTTTAATAGAAGGTATGATTTACAGTTCAATATATTATTTTGGCACTATACTATTTTAATTATTTGAGGTTAGTAAAGTAAATTGGTACGACTTTTTACCAAATATGTAAAGAGGACTTTATTTAGGAATGTCCGAGAAAGGAATACATGAGCATATAGACCGAGGCAGTACCATTTTTCAGAAAATAGGACCAGTGAAGCTCATGACTTAAAAGCAACTAATGAGACAAAACACCCCCCAGTTTATTCCATTCTCGACCCATTCCTCCCATTGACAACTGACACCTCATTGACACCTCATTGACCACCACTTTCGTCATCCCTCACCATTGCCCCCCGCTGCACTAACCACTACCTATGGTAAGTGATCAGTGGACAGCTAGAGGCGATGGTAAGATAGCCAGAGTAAGTGGTTGAAGGTGCATGGGTCATCAGTGAGTCGGCGGTTGTGGTGAACCAGAGGTAGGTGGTCAGTGGGCTGAACAACTTGAGTACCATATAGAAAATTTAATTAGAATAAAGGGTACATCGGGTAGCAATTTTTAGGCTTTCTTTTATGAGGAATAAATAATTACTATGTTAGTTATGAAACATATATGGTCTTGTTTAGAAAAAAAATATCTATGTTATAGTATTAAATAGATGATTTTTTTTCTAATTGAGTGGGTAAGAATATAATGTTAAACAAGGAATGGTAAAAAGGGTAAGAATATAATGTTAAGAAAATAGTGAAGAAATAACGCACCGCTGTAGCAACACTTGTGGGTTATATGGAAAAAGATTCTTTTGATGAAGGCTTTCAATAGATGCTTTCAGTTCCAATAAACAATTACTAGCACACTCAAAAGAAACTCTCTCTGTTCTGTTGGCAACGACACTATAATGTTTTCCTCCCCTCTGGTGATCTTGTTCATATGGCAAACAAATCCCATCTGTCACTGATGTGGACAACTCTCCTGAAAAACTCAGACGATCTACAGATGTTTTTCTTCTCTTTTGACATAATTGAATTTCTTTTTTTGAGCTCCATGGGAAGGTTTGAAATAAGCTCCAAGACTGAAATACCATGCGCAAGCACCTTCAAGAATTCAAGTGGGAAAAAATGTACACAAATTGAAGTTCTTTTTTCTTTCTTTCTGTGGAAAATAATAAATCAAGAAACAGGAAACTGAAAACTGAAATGGATCCTTACATTTCTTGGTGTTTATTCTTAGATTAAGCTGTTAGGGACCTGAACACTACCAATAATTAGAGCCTTATTAAGTCATTTTAATTTTGTTCAATAATAGGGTTTAGGCCCTATAACTTATTAGAAGTGGGCTGGCCCATTAGAAATAGAATAAAAAAGGGCGAGTGGTGAGTAGATGAGGAGGCAGAACTTGGGATTAGGACTGGGATATTGGGAGTGAGAGACCGCTCGAAGAGTCTCAAACCTTTCCTTTCGTGACTTTCTGTATTCCTTCACTAAATTTTCATTAATAAACTACTACTTTCTTCCTGGATTCTTCCGTTACTTATCATTGGTATCAGAGCCTACGGTCGTTGCACCTTTGTATGGTCTTCACTCGATCGAACATGGAGCAACGGATAAATAATTTGGAGATATCGCTGGAGCGATCTATGGTCGATATGCGCGCTGAGATGAAAGCTTTGATGGACGAAAAAGTACAATTGTTGCTAGAGAAGATGCAAAGTCTCGAAGTCCAGGGCAGTCACAAGAGAAGAAAAGGACGATCGACCACCAATTGTCGACGCTAGACTTCTGCCACCGTGAGTACGTCCAATTCCGGAGGTAACCCTCATGATTCTCAATCCCTTTCTCGTGCTCCTGAGCATACAAGAATTAACGACCGGGTTTATACCGGAAGAAAGGTGGATATACCTTTGTTTAGTGGAGAAGATGCATATGGATGGCTTATCAGGGTTGAACACTCTTTCAAACTCAACCATGTGGCAGAAGAGGATAAAGTAGAAATAATCTTGATAGCCATGGCCGGAAAAGCTCTGAATTGGTTCAGAACCTTTGATCAGACGCTTCCAGCCGGATTTAGTTCAGAACCCGTTTGGTCCGATGCTCAAAAGTAAGCAAACTAATTCAGTAATGGAGTACAAGGATCATTTCGAAATGGTTGTAGCTCCCCCCAAAATTGCTGACCCAGAGATGTTAAAAGGAGTATTTCTCAATGGCCTCAAAGAAGAAATTAGCACAGAGCTAAAGTTGTACCAGACCAATGGGTTAACTGATCTCATGGACAAAGCCCTGTTTGTTGAACAGAAAAACATGACATCAAAAGGAGAACAAAATAAAGAAGAAGACAAAAAAGGCTGGAAGGAACAGGGAGGGAAAATGGTTAGACCCTGGAACTAGGTGGAAGAAACAAAGGGAAGAACACCTGCTGTGACTTCGGAGAGAACACATTCAGAGAACAAACTGGAGGAATCACCAAAACCGAATAAGACATGGGAGGGAGGCCAAAGGTTGACACAATTAGAGTTAGAGGAAAGAAGTAAAAAGGGCTTATGTTTCAAATGTGGGAACAAATGGAGCAAAGAACATGTTTGTGGAATGAAACATTATCAATTTATCTTGATGGAAGAGCCAGAAGAAGTGCAGAGAACAGAAGATCAGCTAGATGAACGGGATGAAGCTGCAAACCTGCTGAAAGCAAATGCCAAATCAGTCTCTTATCATCCACCTTAAGGACAAGGTGGAAGTTCGAGGGGGGAGTGATGTTAGGGACCTGAACACTACCAATAATTAGAGCCTTATTAAGTGATTTTAATTTTGTTCAATAATAGGGTTTAGGCAGGGATGGGTTTAAGGGGGGGCGCGGGGGGGCGACCGCCCCCCTTGGACTTTCAAATTTTTCTACAATATATTTAATATTTTCATAAAAATTTTATACTTTAATTAGATATATATGTGTTCGCCCCCCTTAACTTTTAGTTTTCAAAATTAATATATAGTCTTACATTATATAATACTTAATTGGAGATTTGAAAGATGAAACATCTATAATAATTTACATAACTTAAGCAAATATACAATAGAACAACTCATTGTTCAAGACTTAGGATACCTATTATATAAAAATTCATAGTTTTGAAATGTTTAATTATCTTTAATTTATTAGATAATTATTACTCGATTTGTAAAATATCAAGCAATATTATATATGAGACACAAAAGTTAAACAATTTTTCGATCATGTGAAATGAATCTAAAATTACACAATTCGTTTACTTCTTACTCCTTAAAAATAATTTATTGCATAGATAATAAATTTCAACTTATTTTATCACAACAACAACATCCAAGCCTTAATCCCAAAAGAATTTGGAGTCGGCTAACATGAATCGATCTATGATATCGATGCCAAACAGAGAAGATAGACAAGAAAGGGAAGAAAAAGATGTAAGATAAGATGAATAAAATAAAGAAAAAAATATAAGATAACAATAACACAAGAATATAAGAAAGATAAAAGATAAAAAATAAAAGAGAATAAAAAAGCTAGAAGATAAAAATAACATAAGAATATAAAAAGATAAAGAAGATAAACGATAAAAGAAAAAAGAGAGGAAAGATAGAAAAGACATCAATCTAAGAATCAACGATATAATATTATTCTAAAAATAATAATCTCATACTCCGTACATACTATACTTTTGAAATATTAGCAAAACTTGCAATTCAAAATTTGCAATTCAATAATATTATTCTAAAAATAATAATATCATACTACGTACATACTATCCTCATGACTCACGAACACCCTTCTTGGTAAACAAAATTTGTAATTCAAAAATCAATTCCTTTTACCGATAAGATTCATGTTGTTAAACATGACATGAGTTATTTAAAAAGCATTGGTGGTTGTGCACCTTTTAAACTCTTTACCTTCAAATAATTTGATAAAATGTTATATATCCTTTGTTATTTTCAAATAATTTTCCTTTAATTTGCTATTTCTTACGTTTTAATGTATCAATACTTTTTTCTAAAGCACTTACAATTATAAAATCAAAGTTATTTGTTCATTGTCTAAACTTAGAATGTAGAGCCCATTTGGTGACACTAAAATTTGTTGAATTGGCTGATTCTGCTGAAATTTATGAAGTTCTGACTGAAGTGGCTGTATTGGCTAATTCTGCTGATTCATGAAAAAATTATATTTAAAATATATGTTATTAATAAATTAAATAAAAAATTATATGAAAAATAACTAAAATGATCCTCTACAGTAACTTCAGCCAATACAGCCAGAAAAGTAACTCTAACCTTACTTTTTCCGCTTACTATAAACTCCACCGCGCGAAATAAAAAGTTACGTATTTGGTGAAAAAGCTGGCTGATAAGCCGAAAAAGGGTCACCAAACGGGCTCCTAATATACTCCCTCCATCCCGTAAACAACTTCAAACTTCGTTTTCACACATATTAAGGAAATAAACATGTTGGGGGATAAATTTTACTGTATGGACACTGTTTCGACATTGTTTGGCACTGCTTGGTACTGTTTGACACTTTTTGAATGTAGAGAATTTGCCAAATAAGGAACTGGGAAGAAGTGTGAAGTTAATTTTGGGACTGTCTGAAAAGGAAAGCGAGAAGTTGTTTCTGGGATGGAGGGAGTATTTAAATATCATCATGTATGTACTTATGAATTCTTTTTTAATAAAAATTAGCCGCAAAGCCTTTCTACACTAGCGAAAAAAAATTCGCCCCACTACACTAGCAAAAAAAAATCGCCCGATTACACTAGCGAAAAAAATTTCACCCACTACACTAACGAAAAAAATTGGGAAAAGGGCAAATAAGGCCACGTACTAACCAAAAAAGGTCAAATAAGGCCTTATTTATGAGGCTCTGTCCGGCCTTCGCCATTTGGGGTGGTTCTCGGTGGAATTTTTTGATTAATTTTTTTGACCATCTTATTCATTAAGTCTAGTTTGCTCATACCAAATTTCAGATAAAAAATTTAATCGAGAAGGCATTCAAATGAATTCTTGAAGATAACTGCGCTTTTAACTGCGCAATTATCTTCAAGAATTCATTTGAATGGCTTCCCGATTGAAGTTTTAGCTTAAATTTGGTATGAGTAAACTAGACTTACTGAATAAGATGCTCAAAAAATTTCATCAAAAAATTCCACCTAGAACCAACCCAAATGGGGAAGGCCGGACAGAGTCTCATAAATAAGGCCTTATTTGACCTTTTTTTGTTAGTACGTGGCCTTATTTGCCCCTTTTCCCAAAAAAAATTCGCCCCCCTTAATTCCAAATCTTGGATCCGTCCCTGGGTTTAGGCCCTATAACTTATTAGAAGTGGACTGGCCCATTAGAAATAGAATAAATAAGGGTGAGTGGTGAGTAGATGAGGAGGCAGAACTTGGGATCAGGACTGGGATATTGGGAGTGAGAGACCGCTCGAAGAGTCTCAAACCTTTCCTTTCGTGACTTTCTATATTCCTTCACTAAATTTTCGATAATAAACTACTACTTTCTTCCTGGATTCTTCCGTTACTTATCATAAGCATCCATTCTTCCTTTATTGTTAACCATCTTCTAGGGTGACTTATTTTCAAATAATAAGTGTTTTATAGGACAATAAGTAGTTATACTTCAGAATATATTCCACTTTTCATCCTATGAGTTTTAAATTCCACATTTAATTCATATCTTTCACTTTGTCCACTTTTGATACATGAATATTATGTTTTCGCTCATATATGATCCTTCCGGCAATGTTTCCGGTGGTTAAAATTGCCGGGGAAGGACCACATGTGGTTAAAAAATCATTAGTCAAGTACTAAAAGTGGATAAAATGAAACACATGGACCAAAAGTGGAATCGACATAAATTCTAGGACCAAAAGTGGAATTATTTCTATACTTTATAAGCTGGAAATGAAAAGGTGCTTTTTAGTTCTAAGAAAGCAATTCGCATAAGCTATGCTCCATGGAAACGTTGGAGACATGGGGAAAGGTGTGATGGGTAACACTGACTTTTAATAGAAATACAAGTGTTTGGAGAGTTTCTAAAGAGTTTCCTTGAAAGTTCTGAAATTGAATGTGCTATTTCCTGTGAGTTTCGAATCAGAAATGTACTTTTTGCCGTGAATTTTGAAATGGAAATATACTCTTTCCCGAGAGTTTTCATGCTTCAAGTTTATAAGAAATCCGATTGGAGCTAAAATACTCTAAATAGTACATCTGTGACTGGGTAAGAACATCATAGTTCAAGAATGTGGTTTTTGGACTTGCTCAAATGGTGTGCCGTAGTTCGAAAATTTTTTGCCGCAAATCCTTTACCATCTTTAAAAATACAATAAAGATGATAGTGTACTCACAGATTTGTATAGAAATCAAAGTAGAAGAAATAAACTTCAAGAAACTAACAAGCTTTCATTAATGGAAGAAAGATGTACAGAGAGTTCCCAAATGGTCAAAGCCCCCAAAGAGAGAGAGTAATCTCAATCTTCCCAGTCCCAAGACAAAAGTCCAAAAACAGCCTCCTCTCTACTTCTAGCCTTCTTCTATTTATAGCCACTCAGTACAACCGAATTAGTTAATAGCAATAACCGAACTAACTATCCACTAATTATTCTATTTACTAAGTATGACATCATCTAAGTATTTATTCACTTTGTTTATTTCAGCTGCATTCCTATCAATACTCTCCCTTAAACATCCACCTTGCCCTCAAGGTGGGTGATAGGAAACAACCACAATCTTCTGCTTCCTCTTCCTCTTTCTTGTTCCTCTTCCTTCCCAATATCTAACTGGTTGATGGACTAGGGACTTCAGTATGGGATCTTTTAAAATCACAGAACTTTCAGCAGCAGAAAGTGAATCTTCATTTGGTTCAGTCACCTTCCCGTACTCCCTATCAAAAATTATTTCTTCATTTTTCTGCAGCTCCTCATGATTTCTTTGTTCTAAAACTGATACTGTACTGAATGCAAACTCCTTTTTGTACCTTACAACTTCTTCCTCTTTCAATTCTTGGCTTATCTCATTTGAGAAGGAAGACATTAAAGGCATTAACAAGCAAAGGTAATTTTTGTACCTTCCAACTTCTTCCTCTTTCAATTCTTGGCTTATCTCATTTGAGAAGGAAGACATAAAGGCATTAACAAGCAAAGGTAAAGATATAGAATCCCATTCAAATGCACAATAGCAGAAGAAACAACTGGAGAATAGTCTTGATGATCCTTTGAAATATAAGGAACAGAAAATCCCTTTTCGACCTTGGTTTTCAAAATGGTTGTAATCATAGTAGACGAGTGCATCCCAACAGTCAATTTCTGATTGTCTATAGTTGTTTCCAACTCTTTATCATTCATAACAAGCCTGCCATCGCTTACAACCTTCATCCAAGTTAGTAAACCTCCATGTGAAATCACTGTCCCAATATGAACATTAACATATGATTTCCTAGAAAAAAGATAAAGTTCCCCAGAAAAAGGATAAACATGATCCTCAAGACCCACTGGACCAGACCTCTTCTGTTCCAAGCATGTATATCCTGAAATTATGTCCTTGATTTTAAGTTACCCAGTTTCAAAAGTTCCCAATGGACCTGGTTGGAGAAGCAATTCAACAACAGAGATGTTGTTCAATCCTTCCAACACAATGTTTGATGACTGGTGATACATCATATCAGTCTTGCAGACATTTGGCCATTTCCTCTTCTGTTCAAGATGAGAATAATTATCGCATACCTGAAGAAATTTGAACCTATTGGTTTCAAGGTCTGATTGGTCAAGATCGTACATGGGAAACATCTTACGTCTGGAAAATCCAACAACTGCTCCCTCTTTAAGTTCAAGATTAACTGAAGATTTCTCATTGCATTCATCTTCAGGGTCTGTTTCCTTAACTGAATATACAACCAGTTCCAATTCTGTGTTTATTGTTGTTGGTGGCGTCCCTGGAGATCCTTTTTTTGATGTGATGACAAGAGAGGCTGAACTGTGAGATCCAGCGATTGGAGAAACCTGCGAACTGGGGACTTCTGCTTGCGTCACAGCCAGAGGAATAGAAGAATTTGTTTGCGCACTCAGAAAAACGGCTTGAGAGGAAAAATTCTGCGAATGGTGAGAAACCATTCGCAATTGCGAAGTAGGGGAGACAGTTCGCGATTCCGTTTGTGAACTTGTGAGCGATTGGGACGAATTTTGTTTGTCCGATAGCGAAGAGCGATGAGAAGAGCGATGCGAAGAGCTATGTGAAGACTTATGCGAAGAGCGATGCGAAGTGTGCAACGATGAGGAAGACTCTGTTCGCGACTGGAGACGGTGAGAAGATCTTCGCGATTGTGAACTATGAGAAGAAGTTCGCGAATCCTCTCGCGAGTGCGAAACAATATACTTGGAATTATCTTCTGATCCATCTGCTCTAGCGGAACTTCTCGCCTGTTCATGATGTGAAGAACGATGCGACGTATGTGAAGGGTGCGAACTGTTTCGCGAACAACTTTTGCCTTGCTCCGCCAATTTCGCGATCGTAGCCTGCATCGTCTTAAACATCGCCTTCATCTGTTGTTGATTTCGCTCCATCGTTTCCTTGAATCTCTTTTGGTTTTCCTCCAGCTCGTTCATCCATAAATCCATCTGCGTACGCGTCAAGACCATCCACAGAATCTACGTGCTTTGATACCAATGATAGTGTACTCACAGATTTGTATAGAAATCAAAGTACAAGAAATAAACTTCAAGAAACTAACAAGCTTTCATTAATGGAAGAAAGATGTACAGAGAGTTCCCAAATGGCCGAAGCCCCCAAAGAGAGAGAGTAATCTCAATCTTCGCAGTCCCAAGACAAAAGTCCAAAAACAGCCTCCTCTCTACTTCTAGCCTTCTTCTATTTATAGCTACTCGGTACAACCGAATTAGTTAATAGCAATAACCGAACTAACTATCCACTAATTATTCTATTTACTAAGTATGACATCATCTAAGTATTTATTCACTTTGTTTATTTCAGCTGCATTCCTATCATGAATGTGGTTTTTGGACTTGTTCAAATGGTGTGTCGTAGTTCTAAAATTTTTTGCCGCAAATCCTTTACCATCTTTAAAAATACAATAAAGATCATCACATGCCTTAAGAGATATTCAGCCGAACTAGCTCCTGTATCTTTTGAGATGAGATAATCCAGAAGCACTTGATGATCATAGCGAATCTGTTAGAAGTGCAACAAGCTCATACATGATAACAACATGAGCATATATTAGAGTGCCTGCATATCTGTTTTGATGAAAAACACTAATTGTACAACATATTTCTACAAGCTTTCTTTGTTCACATAAACAACATTTTGTCCAGGTGATTGTATGTATGTCAGAAATTCAGAACAAAAGAAAGTCTCACAAAAAGAAAAAGGAAAATTTCCAAAATAGGAGTAAAAATGTTCTGGAATTCCAAAATAGGATTGTCATGCTTTTTTCTCTAAATATGAGTAATTATTGCCAAGTTTGAAAAATATTGCCATTTTTAAATTCTGGTCCTGACAAAACATGGCAGTAATTACTCATATTTCGGAAACTAAAACATGAGTCCTATTTTGGAATTCCAGAACATTTTTACTCCTATTTAGGGCAATTTCCCAAAGAAAACAATAGTCTGAACAAAGTTCTAACTGACAGAAATCACAGACAAAAAAATTTATCAATGAAAAAATTATCAATCATTTTCATTTACCCCAGTGCCGCAAAGGCTCCCACCTACGGTGGGGTAAGGGGGGGTCAGATGTACGCAGTCTTACCCCTGTACTAAAGCACAGAGAGACTGTTTCCGGATGACCCATCATGAAAATCCCGTCCAAAATTGCATGGACTGACTGTTGCTTCATAACAAAGAAGCGCAGACAGTTTAGTGAGCCGTTTTGCTTTATTCCATCATAATCTCAAGCCAAAAAATAATGAATCTTTGGCTCCATTGCAAATGATGGAAAAGAAAAAATTATCAATGAAATAGACAAAAAACTTCTAGAAATTTGTTGTAGAAATTGGTTATAGATCAAAGTGTCTGATAGTTCAATACCTCGATAAAAGCAATGAAATAAGACACATACCTCTGCTAGAAAATGGTGAAATAAATATACAGGGTTGAAAAGGTCTGAAACAATGGAAGCCCTTTTAACATCTGCTGATGGCATTCCTTCTTTAACAAACCTACTCACAGGAAAAAAAATACTCAGGTTGACCACTCAATTTGCAACCAATATGAAAAAACAAATGTGTACAACCTCACCATTCCTCAGAGAAAGGAGAAATACAAAGCAGTTGCAGGAGCATCTGAAACAAAATATCATCCTACAGGAAAACATAATTCAATATAACCCAACACCTAAATGGAAAAAGTTGTTTTAGATATCCAAAATAAACAAACATGAAGAATTTAAAGACTGAAAAGAACTTATGGGGGCAAAAACAACCTCATGCATGTAAAGCTGAAGGAAGCACAACTGAAAGCTTAAAATAGATTCAGCACATTTCTTGTGGTTCAAAAAAGCATCATCTTTAGAAACAAGTTGGAGCCACTCATGAATCTCTTTCAAACCTTTGCTTATATCTGATTTCAGACTAACAGCAGAGTGACAATCGTGGCCAGTAGATGCATGGTTTTGTCCACTTCCCTCCATATTGATCATGCGAAAGGAACATCTTAGAAAAAGAAAAATAGCCAGCCTTTGCAAATGTCTGGATGACATGTTTTCTTTTTCTGCATCAGAAGTATTTTCCCGAAATGGTGAGCCATCAAGACATTTATCTAAATCAGACTCCACTCCTGCTATTGGTAGGCATAAGAGATCTTGAAAGTAAAGGTGGATGAGATTCAGCCATGAAAGAAGAACAGAACCATCCAACTGGACTCCAGAACTGAGCCTGATCATTAGTATCTGCATGTTGACATTTTGATTGGGTTGTGTGGGTAGAAAGATTCACATGATTCTGCTTCGTTTTACAGGAAAAAGTTTGTATTCATTATTGGTCCATTTGGAACTCGGAAAATGATAGGAATGAAATTAAAGAGGTAAGAAAACATGGGAGGGGAGATAAATAGTTGCTTAAAACTTGCTACATGAAGTTTAGGTATTTGTTGAATTTGTTTTTTATTTCTACTGTATAGAAAATAAGAGATCTACATAGCTATGGGATTTTGAAAAGGTTTATATAAAATTGGTTTTGAAATATTTTCAAATGCAAACCTAGACGCTAAAGATAAAAAAAATCCATAGTACTTTTCCCCCTTTGCCTACCACTTCCTGAATTCCAAATGCAGCCCTTAGATTAGTTGAAGACTTATCATACCAGAAACTTGTGCTTGTAATATTTAGAGATATAAATACTTCCAAAGTCCTGAAAATTCCCATAGCACAAATTCAGGAGCCTAGGAAGGATGCTTCTCATCTCACTAATAATTGTGTGCTTATGCAAATCATCAGAAACGGCTTCTAGTGGAAGACTTATCATATCAGCCAATGAACACAACAACTGAATGAAACTTCCAAGAAACAAAATTGCTGGTTTTGGTTTTGCATCTTGAAATTGAAACAAACCATCAGCATTGAGGTCTCCCAAAGACTTGCTTTTTTGGCAGACAAAAACCTCATGTAACAAATCCCATGGCACATTTGATATTAAAGAGTTTGTGGCCTCCATGCACAACTTCAAAAAATGATCATCAGCGTCTTGTTTTGCATTCTTCACTATCCTTCTTAAAACATGAATGATGACAGCTATTGATACCCAATTTTCACTTTTATGGTGGAGTTTGACAGGTGAAACAGAACTTGATGGAAGAGAGCCAAAGATTGACATATTCAAGAGAGAAAGAAATTGGTTAAGTTCAACCCAGCTACTTCCCTAAAAGTAAAAAAAAAAGTAATCAAGTAGATGAAGATTAGCAAATGCAGAGAATGTAAGTGGTACTTAGAATATCGTAACATACAGATGCAACTAAGAAATTAGAAGTTTCCACCAAAATGTTACCCACTAAGTGTTGTACGTATGAATTTTCAATAGCCAGCAACTCCATCTGTGAATAATATATAAAATGATTAAAGATGAATATGAATTCAAAATGAGAAAGTGGCAGTACAAAAACAAAAGGTCATTTTCGCATGCAAATATTTGTCCATAAGAAGAGGTCAAAGTTTATCCCCAACTTAAATGCAAACAGTTTAGAGTCCAGATGTGCGCAAATGAACAAATGCATCTATCAGTTAAAGTACTTACCAAGACGCTGATGGCCTTAGATAAACAGGGATGGATATCAGTATCCGAGCCATGGATAAGACTACAGTCAATAACGCCAGAAGAACCTCCGGCAACATCCTGCTGACAAAGTAGGAAACACGGGGTTAAATATACAACATAATTCAAAATATAATCCAATTTAAAGGGACAATAAGAGAGGAGAGAATATAGACAGTTTCGGAGTCAGAATCGGATGGGAACTCCAACTTCCACAGCTTGATTTGTGAGCAAACTCGAGACAGGGCGATCAACAGGTCCTTCACATTTTTTTCGGTAAAGAAAGTAGGCAAAAGCTCCTAAAAAGCGCTATTAGAGAGTGAAACTCTGAAGAAAACGTGTGCGCAAGAATGGTGGGAAGAATGGTGGGACGAAAAAGCGTTTTCCGTCGAACTTACAGCATATGGACGCAGTGAATCGCGGATTAGGCTGCTGCAGAGCCTCAAGTGGACCTCCCTGTTACTCATTGTCCGGGCGGCGGGCGGTCAGCGGTGGCACGGCGGCGGGCGGTCAGCGGTGGCACGGCGACTGGAAACCGATGTCGACGGCGATAAGCCCGCGCGGATTAGTTTGTTTTGGTTAACTTTTGATTTTAAATTTTTAATTTATACTAGTACTCATTACTCATTCAATTTTTGAAAGACCTAAAATAGAAAAATTAGAAATTCGAGATCTGATGAAATGTAACCATATACTCGTACCATAGTAAGACTTTTTAAACGATGAAAAACTATCATTTAGTACGTGAATGATCGAAAACAATCAAACTAAAAGCTTAGTTGGAATGAATTTTATTTTTATTTTTAAATATTATTTAATTTTATTAAACTCATAAACTTTGTGAAGAAAAATTTATCAAAAATTAAAATGAAATTAATAAAAATGAAATAAATCAAAACCTATAAAATGTCAGGTCCTACATTGATAGTTTTTCATCATTCGGGTCTTATATTAATACATTTCATGTTTCGGGTTTCGCGTTCCGGATTGATAATTAGTCTATTTTTGAATTAATAAAACATTTCCAAAAAGTTCATACTCGGTGCTACTCCATAATTGATTAGCATTCTTGAGATTAAGGGAGATTTGTACAAATACAAACATACTTATTTTCCGAAAATATGATCTAATGTTTAAAATTTTGTAAATTTCATAAATATGATCTAATTTGCCATATCAACGTAGCTTATCGTCGAAATTTTCTCATCGGTTGTCGCAACCAATCTATTGCGAGGATGTCACAGCTGGAACCCTTTCAAACACACTCTAGCTAGGTACAAACATGCAATTCACACTTTTGGACGGTCAAACTCTATTAATTTAGGGTGACAACTCCGGTACCCATTTTAAAAATTGGGTACCGTACCTACCACTCACTTGATTGTTTCAAATCATTACATCATTTTTTATTTAGATTTAAATAATTCAACTACATCATTCTGATTGGTCCATGTGGACAAAGGTATGGTACCTTTAAGGTATCATAGAATCTACCTTAATTTATTTGTACTTGTCTTCATCGCAGGCTGTACTATACGGCTCTGCACTTGTTCTTCCTTTATCCAAATGATGAAATGGAAGATATATACTCCGTATGACATACATTTACTTTGTGTACATAAGATAGATACACAAGTTAGCCAAAAAGAACAGTTACATACGTACATAAGTACGTAGTATTACGGAGTACCTAATTACACCGTACTAACCAACATCTTTATACACAAAGGTCGCGGATTTCTAAGCAAAATGTAGAGGACAGGGCATAGAAGAATGGGTTGAGTAAATGTTGAAGAGTAAAAAGAGGGTATGTTGGGCCCAGAATTTAGTGAGAAGATTGGCTCATGTTCGTATAAAGCTTCTAGAGGTCCGGATCAGAAATTTGAAGGAGTGAGACTAAGGGGCTGTTTACTTGCGACTTAATGGACTTAATGGAAATCATGACTTATTCGTTCAGCTATATCGGCGTGTTTACTTGCGACTTAATGAAATAAATGACTTATTCGCTCAGACGTAAAACGTCTTAATGGTTCAGCTCATATTCTACTCTCCTTACCATTCAGACATATCATTTTATATGAAATGTCTATTTTACCCTCTTTTCAAGCCTTGTTACTCCTGCTCAAAAATAACGTTGGAGGTGGGATTCGAACCCAAGTGCTAATGCTAGCCGAGTGAAGGAGAAACCAAAGAGCTACTAAAGCTTGTTGATGCTTTCTGACATTGCAAAAATATATAGCGTATATTTCCAGTCTAGGCTAGAGGAGACCGCCGTCTGGCCACCCCATTTGGATGGTTCCCGGTGCTATTTTATAATGAAATTTTATGAGCATGTCACTCATGAAGTTTAGATTATTTGTAAAAAATTCACTTTAAAATTCAATCATGAATGTAGTAAAATAAAATTCTAAAACATATGCGCCCATACACATATAAAAAATGCAATTTTTTTCAAACAAGTATTTAACTAGCTTCACGATTTAATTTTAAAATAAAGTTTTGTGGAAATAATCTACACTTTATGAAAAATATGATCATTAAATTTCATTAAAATATTCCACCGGAAACCACCCCAAATGGGGGTGACCGGACAAGTCTCTTCCGTAACGGCCAGAGATGAATGACATAATTAAATGAAAATGATATAATTAAATATACTTCATTACAAAAATGTATGATTTAAAAAATGTATATTTTACCCAATTACAGATTAATTGGGTAATTTTTTTTAGAAAAATGTAAATGACATAATTAAATATATATAATTACAAAAATGTATATTTTACTATATTTGAACACAATTATCAGGTTGCGCGAGTGAACAAATACCCAACGAGCTAATAATGCTTATTGGTATATTTGCTACATTGTAAAAATATATAGTATATTTTTGGTTTGGACGGGTTAGAAGAGACTGTCGTTTTTACTCATCCCATTTAAGTAGTTCCCGGTGGAAGTTTTTAATGAAATTTTATGAACATGTTCCCCATGAAGTGTAGATTATATTAAAACAAAATTCACCTTAAAATTTGATTGTGAAAGTTGTGAAATAAAATTGTGAAACATATTGCGCCAAAATAGATATAAAAAAGCAATATTTTTCAAAAACGTATTTAAATAACTTCCCAAATGAATTTTAAATTTTTTTTTTGTGGAAATAATCTAAATTTCATGAGAAATATGATCATAAAATTTCATTAAAAATTCCACCGGAAACCACCCGAAATGGGGGCGACCGAATGGTCTCCTCTAGAACGGCCGAAGGTGAATAATTGTATAATATATATACTATTTTCAATTCAACATGATAAGTAAAAATTATGTATTTAATTAAAAATTAATGCATAATAAATATAATAATTGATATTGTTGCAACTACTAAAATAAAAAAATATGTATACACCATTTCAAATATAAGTTGACAAGTTTATAACATATTTTTAATAAGTGTACTTATGTTCACTTTTATTTTTAGAAAAATGCGAATGAAATAATTAAATGTACAACATTACAAAATGTATATTTTACCCAAATACCAAGTTAAAAATATATATTTTAAATAAATTACTAATTTATATATACAACATATATATATTCCAAAAGTGTATATTTTAATTGTACTGTAGACACACAATATATATTCAACACTTTTTCCATATAGAAGGGTAAACTGGTCATTTGATATAATTCAGCATGTTCATTCAGCATACAAAGTAAACAGCTTGTTATATCACTGTGACTTAATCCAGACAGACGTCTTAATCCATACAGACGTCTTAATTCATACAGGACTTAATGAAAAAAAAAAGTAAACAGCCCTAAGTCTCATGCAGTTAGCAAAAGAGGGATGAGGCCTATACTAGCAACTAACTCCCTGATTCGGCGGAAGTGGAGCCAAATTAGTTGGGCAGTTAGACATGTGAGCTAGAAGAAAAGATAATCCTATTATATATTGGCCTTAGTTGTAACAGGAGGGGACGATCAATGTATTCTCTCCCCCAAAGCTACTACTTGTGCATTGATTTACTTATTATTAAACTTACTTTATACAAAGCCCTTACTTATTCCCAAACAGGCTCTGTATTCGATTGTGCATAAATTCAATTCTCAAAGTATTAAGAGTTGAAATAATAATCATTGTCTTTTTGCTTTCTAATTTGATTCTTGTACGTAGCAAAATATAAATCCTTCATCTATTAAATTGTTTCAATTTACAAAAAACTGCCTAAATAGGGTATGAGTAAGTAAAATTATTTATGTATTTAGATCCACATTTCTAACTTATTAGTACGTTATGTTGGTCAATTTTTTACTGAATGTGCAACTTTTGTTTTAATGCATTGAATTGTATAATAGTCAAAATATGTCAATTTAGAGTTATTTTTTTGAACGAAATGACTGAAGAAGATTATTTTAGCTAATTTAAAATAAATTTTTCTTTATTTTATTAGAAAAATATATTTTAAATGGAATTTCCCCATAATTCAGCATACTTAATCAATTCAATCATTTTAACTAAAATTTCATGAATTTCAGAAGATTAAATCAATTCAATCAATTTCAATATTAACAAATGAACTCTTGATTATTAATGTTTATTAAATTAGGAAGGGAAAGGAAACAATAAATCTTGCTCTATTTCAAACAAGAATAATGCGACGGTGCTAAAAAGAAAATAAAAATACTTAAAATATTAACGGGATGCCAATATAGATGATAGTTTTGCTGCTTCGTACGTGCTGCAAGCAGCCAAGCATAGCAATTTTATTTTTTAAATACTATGTACATTTACCATTTAATCAGAACTTGCTTTAAGATTTGTTGTGAAATATTATAAAGTATTTTAATTTTGCATGTGTTTATACTAGGATAAAATAGCTAGTAGCACTATCCCCTCACTTAAATTTTGAATACGGCATTAAAGTTCTTGGAGACTACCTACGCATGGACTCAGGTAGGTCCGGGCCGGGCCTCGAGCCGAGCCTGACCATGCATTTTTATGCATTTCCATTTAAAAATAGCTAGTGCTAATTTTTTTATTTTCTAATTACTTCCTACCCCCACCCCCACCCCAAACCCCTCCAAAACATCCAGCCCAACCCAATTACCTCCCAAAGATGTTGAACACCAAAAAAAATTGTGCCAGGCACGGCCGGGTCGCCCGTTTCATTTTATAGAGACCCGAAGCCCGGCCCGAAAAATCTCGGTTCAGGTATAATGCATCCGACCCGGACCCCGGGGCCCGATTCGGGCCAGTTCGTAACAGTACTGGGCCGGCCTAAGACTACCTAGATAGGCGGTCACCTAGAATACACAGTACTTTTAAATCGGTTAGATGTTTATTTTGAGCATAATTTAATTGGTTAGATGTTCGATAAGGATATGTTCGAGCTCGATAGAGTAGGGGTGTTGCTCGATTAACTAGATGGTAAAGGGAAATGCTCCTTAAACAAAATAACCGAGGGTATTAAGTGTAAACCCACTGTATAAACAAAATTGTGTTTAAATTATAACTTAGCAATCCCAGCATATATTATCTGAATGGAGTAAAATGTGATACATAGTACTACCTCCGTCTCATTATGTTTGAGAAAAAGGAGTGTGACACAACTTTTAAGAAAAAGTGGAATTGTATAATTGATATTAAATTAATAAAGTGTCAAACAAAAAAGGTAA